TATATATATATATATATATATATATATATATATATATATATATATATATATATACTTTTATTGTACATTACCTTTTCTTTTATTCACAGGCAATGCCATCTACATCTTCAGGTGAGAACTACAAATTCTGAGTCAAAACTGTTTCATGTAGAATTAAAAGCAAATAGAAAAGAGGAGTCACTATTTTTCATATATATTTAAAAAACAGGAAAGCGCAAACACGACCCAAAGTGTGAGTCTAAGAAAGGACAACCTGCAATTAAAAGGCACCTTGGGACAAGACTCTCAGCAGGTATTTCTTTTTTATAAACATTGGAACGACATAAAAACTATCATTCGTATTCTTAAAAATACAGTTGAGCTTTTCCTTAATATGTTCTTTCTATTTATAAATAGATACCCTTAAAATAAGTGTGTTATTAAAGAATGGGTTTATGCCATAACATATTCTGTTATAATTTATGTTTATATAATAAAAGCAAAGAAACAAGATCAGTCATCATCCGTTAATCATGTAAGAATTTCAAAAATGACAAAAACTGAAACAAAATTACCTTTTAAATCACGTTTATTCATGGTTTTCTGCCTCCTTTGATTTTTAATATTGCAATCAAGCTCATATAATGGTGATGAATATGAAGATTTACATATCTGTATTCTCCTGGCACATATGGACGCTGCTTTGGGTTTATTCTGCAAAGATCTATTTTAACAAGAGAAAAATGTTTTGATGGGTATTATATCATCTTTAATTAATAAATCATTGTGTTTAATATTTTTAAAAATAGTTATTTAAAAAGAATACCTATGTTTCTAATGTCAATACAACTGTGTTTACGCAGTCAAAACAATTTTTTTTTAATTTTTGTCAAAAGAAGTATGCTAAATTTCCTTTTATGGTAAGCATACCTTTTATATGCCATACCAGAAAAAAGTATTTCAGTTAACTGGTGTGCCTTTTATCCCTCTGATTTTACAATTTTAGTTATCTCATTAATATGTTTTCATTATAGAAAAAGAGGATGGGATATTAAATAATGTGAAAAACACAATGGGGAGCATCTTAGCCAAACTGGACAATCAAGATGACACAACACTCAATACATTCTTGAAGTGAGTATATTTTTCGTTTGAAGGTTTTCACTTGATGTATTCTAACTAACAATAGAATCTTAAAAATCATCAGCTGACACATAATTAATACGTTGTAATGCTGGGTGCATTTGTATGTATTCCTAAATTTAGAGGTTTGTTGTTTAATGATCTAATACTATTTTTATGTAAATATGTTGAAGTTGGATTTATTTATAACTAAAAAATCTTTTAAAAGGACTAAAATAAAAAAACTGAAGATGGAAAAAAAGCAGTTGGTCGGTGTCTTTGGAAAAACTGGATCTGGAAAGACATCTTTGATAAACACCGTTATACAAGAGAAGAAGCTTTTACCTTCTGGAAGTGTTGATGCCTGTACCTCAGTCATGATTAAAGTGGAGGCTAACAAATGCAATGGAAAATATGAGGCAGAGATTGAGTTCATCTCACCGGAGGTAACCACAAAATGTGAAAAAAAAAAAAACTGATTTGATGGCTGTTAGACATGACGTGTCACTTCCTGTCTTAGTTGCTGTAGATCTAAGTTCTGTGGCGCTACCCAGATTCTCTTCATTTGTGAGATTTCTAAGTTCCTCTAACTATATAGGAGCACTTTTTAATACATGTTCTACTGCGGGGCTTATCTACTGGGCAATTTTTCACTCACGTTCTTTATTTTTGGAGGTACGGGGTAGCTGGCCTTGTAGTATCTTAGCACTACTTTTGCCTTCTTCTCTATCTCCCCAGAAGTTTTCTCTCTCTAACCCAAAAATTCCACATTCTCCACAGTCTCTTTAACTTGTCTGTTCCAGACCGCCTACGCAGATCAAGAAGAGCATGCATAATATTATATTATCATTTGTGAATACATAGGAGGACAACGGAAGGTAGTAAAAGCATAATTTTTATGACATCTTTAATACTCACCACTTACATCCAACAGATGAATAATTTCTGCCCAAACCTCTTCTTTCCATTGGTTGATAATAATTGAGATAACAAGTTCTTGATAATATTGCTAAAGTTGTGAGATGCAGTTTTGGAAGTTGTGACTGGATTTGGTTTGAAAGCCTTTAAGAATAAAATAAGTATTTGATAGGGTCATGATTTTACAAATTTCAGACCCAAATGCAGAAAAACCGAACAAAGAAACGAGGGAAAAGGTTTAACAGGTTTTATTGAAGTGGTTAAACAGAGGAAGAAGTGTTGCTCTGAACACTGCTCAACCGGAACTGTAAAGTGAGGGGAATACACAGTGGTTAAATAAAATAAGTAAGCAATCACAGAGGATATGTGGGGGTGAACCTGCCCCTCATCTCTCGTGCTGTTTTTTCAGATGTTCATTTAGTCCTCTGCCTCTGTTGGAGATAATGATATAAGTGTGGTATTTTTGTAGCTCTGGAGATGAGTTGTCAGACTAAGAGTCACAACTCTGGCCTGTTGAGCATCCAGGGGTTAGACCAGGTACAGTAGCTACCAGCTTGCACCCACAGAGAGCAGGTAAACATCTATGGTGTGGTACTCCAGACAGCAACCGAGAATGGTTGGGTGATAGGACAACAACTACAACATAGTCGTATATCCTTGCCCACTTGTCACCATCAACCCGTCCACTTTTTAAACTGATTTTCCCCACTCAGCAAAACACCCGTTGAGAAGCCGAACCTAGTAATATTTCTTTACAACCCAGGTCCATCTGACCAAATAAGTAACCTTCAAACTTTCTTTATCGGAGTCCCCCCTCCCCCCAAAAAGGTTTCACTTGAGCCAATCATTTGAAAATAATGCAGTAATAAATTTTAATGAATATGTTTCTTTTTGTATCTCCTCTTTATCACTGAAAAAATACAGCCTAGCCTGCTAATGGCCTCTGGCGCTAGGCTAACTGGCCCGCTAAAGGCCTCTGGCGCTCGGCTAACTGGCCCGATAAAGGCCTCTGGCGTTAGACTATACGGCCCGTTAAAGGCCTGTGGCGCTAGGCTATATGGCCCACTAATGGTCCCTGGCTCTCGGCTAACAGGCCCGCTAAGGGCTCTGGAAATAGAGACACTGGCCCGCTAAAGGGCTCCGAAGCTAAGGAAACTGGCCCACTGAAGGACTCTGACTCTGGATCTGGCCTGCTAAAGGGCTCTAACTCAGGATCAGGTTGGTTTAGAACAGGAGGACTGGTAAATAGGGTCTTCAACTGGGTGAACGCAACATCAGCCTCTGGAGTCCAGTTGAAGGGGGACTTGGTGGAGGTTAAGGCTGTTAAATGTCGAGCTGTCTGACTGAAGTTAAGAATACTTCGCCTATAGAAATTAAGCAAGTCCCAGAAATCCTTGTAGCTGCTCTCTAGTCTCAGGAGTGGGCCAATTCAAAATTGCAATAATCCTTTCCTCCGAGGGTCCTGTCCGCCCTCAAGAATGAAGCCCAGGAATGAGACGGAGTGTCTGTGGAATTCACACTCTTCTGCTTTTACGAATAGCTCGTGTTCCTGGAGGCGCTGAAGAACATCGCGGACATGGCTCTTGTGCTCAGAAAGGTTCTTTGAAAAAATCAAAATGTCGTCAAAGTGGACAAAAACAAAAACATTAAGAAAGTCCTTCAAAACGTCTTTGACAAGGGCCTGGAAACAGTCGGGGAGTTAGATAGGCTTAAAGGCATCTCCAAATAATCAAAACATCCTAGTGAGGTCTTAACACTAAGGCCCCGTCCACACGAAGCCGAACCCTAAACGCACAAATTTTTCACCAAACCAGCCTCTCATCCACACGAAGCCGA